TCCTGAGCTCGCTTTGAGCTGTCAGTCAATCCTGTGTCTGACCAGAAAAGAAAGACTTGGCCGCATCGGCGTGGCGTCGGGAAGCGTGCTCACCGATGCAGCGAAGGATGCTTGCGGTCCCGAAGCATTTGTGAGCGGGTCTCCTACGATTCTGCTGAAGTGGCTCATCTCCTTGGATGTTCAGGATTCCTCTGCGCAGGTGTTCCAGGTGCAGTGCCTATAGAGGCCAAGCGACCAGCGACACGCTACCCAACTGCATCATAGACAGAAGAGGTCTGGAATGATCGACTCCGATTCGGCATCGGGACTCAAGCGAGGCACAAGTCTTGCCTGGAGCGGTCTCGAAGAGAAACTTGTGCAACACAGTGCTGCAGTCATGTTCGCGGCGCACCTCGACACCTGGCAGCTGGACCAATACGAAAAGTTGACGCGGCCTCGCATGCAGAGAGCGGTGTAGGTCGCGCAGCGAGGCCGGAAATGGCTTCGAGCTGAACTCCGATTGTCCAGCACCTGAAAAGGGAGACGTCGTGCCTGCATGCTTTGAATCTTCTCACGATCGGAGCTTGATCCTGTCGCCCCTTGTCTCACACTCGAAATGTGAGCGTCGAGAGCTAGCCCAGTGGGTCGTCCAGCGGAGGTGAGGCGGCCTCCAGCACGAGGTGCGTGCTGTGTGGCTTGCAGTCCCGACTGGCCGGACCTCGAACCTGCACGTCGCGCATCGGGAAGGATCTGCAGCTGCAACCCCCCGGCCGAGGAGCGGAAACCGCTTTGGGACACGTCTCTGCTCTGGGCGGCGCTTCACCAGCCGAAAAGATGGCGTCAGGGATCGACACGCCAGGTAGCGTCCTGTACCGCACTCACGACGCGTACACTGTGACTTCACGAGCAGTGAGCGATCCAGCACAGCTCCTCACACTCACGCTGGCGGGAGAAGCACAGCAACCGCATCTGTGCCTTCCCACCCTTCCCAGGAGGGTGAATGTACTGGACTGGCCATCACGCTAGCATTGAAGATCATCGTGCCGGGCGGGCTTAGAATTGTGCCGCTTCTTGTCACCGCACCCACTTGAATGTCAGGCCATTGTGGTTGCGGACACGCCTATATTGTACCACGAGTACTGGGAGTCGCACGCAGGCAGCGCCTGTGACTGTACCTCGCGTCTACTGATAGAAACAGCGAGTTGGCCCATCTCAAC